TTAAACAAAATGCTATAAGCGAAATATCACCGGAAGGTGCAAATAGATTAGACTAACTCCACGTTAAAGACATAACTTTGAAAACTCTATAGTTTCGGCGGAAGTAATTTGAGTGTGTAAATAGACAGCGGCGCCAAACGAGGAATGAATTAAACGCTCGAAGCATACAAATTAAACGAAGATTAACTGTCAGAGCAAATGAGAAAAGACAAAAACAATTTGGAGTATTCATTCCAGCTCTCACTGTGGGATGTGCACAACTTGACTTTTATAAAGTAAACACAAACTGTACATTACAAAATATATCCACATGCCTCGACATGTAGTGGATAACGCTAGTAAATACCAGTTCAAAGTAGTTAAATGAAGTGAGTAAAAATAGGCGAGATGATACAACTCACAGTTCGTTGATACAGTTAGTTAGTGCCGCCACAATAAATCCAAATCGATCTCCTTCCTGGAATCTTCCTTAATATATTCCTAGATACTTTCTATCCCGTCGTAGTCTGAAAGGTAGATCACCGCTCGTTAATTCACTGACAGCCTAACTCGACACAGCAAGAAGGGAACACGCCTTTCACGAAGTACAGAATTTGTATCGTGTGTATGCATCCATATTTCTTTGCTTTCATTTAAACAGAAGTTATTCGGTATGAAGAGAAGAGGAATAAGCTGAGATTTAGTGAGAGATAGAAAGTGGTACAATTTGAGTAATGATAAGTTACAAAGAAAGTACTAATGTACAATGGTCAGAAGGATCACCATACACATGTCCTCCATCTACTTATCTTTCTTTACACAACCTTTCCTTGAATAATCACACCACTCCTTTCAACATAAGTTTGACGGCAACTGGTTATTTGTGTTTTCAGCGATTTCGAATCGAATTTAATTACATATTCAAGACTTTTCGCAATCAGAATTTTAATTTGTTTTCATCGTGTTCGATCACATGTTTATGCTGTTGATGACAGCGTACAAAAGCTGTAGTAGCTTATGGAGAAGTTTGCCATCGAAGAATGTTGAGAAGATGGACGATGACCCCAGGATTCGAGGCGTAGCGCACTCATTTGTACCCACAAGTTCATCTCACCATGCGATCAAACCTCGAGTGCCGCTGGTGGAAAACTCTGATAAGCGTATGTGGACAGGTCGTACGTACCACGTGACTCGGTTCAGCCGATCATCTGCTTGAGTTTCGCTTGTGCATAAATCGGCTACTAGTACTTCATCGGGAACGAAGGAGTACATGGTACGGAATGCCAAGTTGTTACCGTTTGTTTTGTACAAGATTAGGCTTTGTAACCGCCGGAGCTGGTATGAGTTTGGCAGCAATTTTCTTCCAGTGAATGTCGGGGTCCATTAATTTGAGATAAGGGTAGCTGCATGGTTTTCGGATTATGTATTCACACTCAATTTGTTTGAGTGGCTTTGCAGTTGTCGTCAGGTCTACATCAAGAGAGGAAGTACTGAGTCTGAATTGGGCTCTTGGAAAGGCTAAATGACAGTTCGAAATTCAGACGGAAGGACACTGGAATGTCAGACCCCTCGATCGGGGCTCTTGGAAAGGCTAAATGACAGTTCGAAATTCAGACGGAAGGACACTGGAATGTCAGACAATCCCCTCGATCGCAGTTTTATGGCTGACTGTTAGTTGAACTGCAGCATAAGCTATTAATAGACTTAGAAGTTTCATGGAAGAAATGACTAATACTATGTACTTTTCAATAGGAAACGTTAGATTCCTCCGCGGTCCACCAAAGAATAGTAAGCCTGCCCTATCAGAGCCAACAAATCAGATTTCTTTGTGGCTTCTGGGTGGCACTTAGATTATTTCCTCGATACTGTACATAAGATTCCTTGAAGCTCCTGGACGGTTAACGACCGGCTTCGAGGTAGTGCCCAAGTTCCCGTTGTCCTCAAGTTCAGCCTGAGCCAAGGTTTGGAGAAATAAGCGAACTGCAGTCGATCACAAACTGAGTTAACTGAATATGATACACACTGACTGCCTCAAATTGTGTTCGTGCGACGTCCGAGATAATGAAATATATTTTACTGAATGAAATTACTCAAAAGGTTACTGAAAAAACCTTGATAGCTCTCAAGCGGTTTGATTCCCTTAGACCTTACCAGGGAGGTGACATTCCGGAGGCTCCGTCAGCCTGATTTACTCTGCAATTTACAATTTTGCGAATGGTGTACTCCGTGGAGAAAAATGCCTCAGTATGTCGCAGGTGGTTGTGGGATTTGTGGAATCCCCATCCACATTGCTCTCTTTCGCACAGTTCTCCTCCTATCCTGGTGGGTCCACAGCGAAGGATGAACCACTGAGCTCTTATTATTGCTTCTGTCGGAGCTGGAGTTTGAACGCCGGATATCCGATACATGAGTCAACCTTGTTGTTAATGCACCACGCAGAATATAACTGAATTATCACGTCTGAGCAGGTGAAATTGCTTGCGATTGAGAGATATGAATGGTCCAACCGAAACTCACGACGACATAGTAACTAGCTCGGTTAGGTCGATAGATTTCGACGACTTTCCAGTCAGGTAGCGCCACAGATGATTAAGACTACCTGAAAACGTTTTCATTAGTTGCATGTGGTTGACGGCCCCACTGAAATAATTGCGCCAGGACAGAAAGGAGACTGCTCAAACGACAGTGATGCGAATACTGATATATCAAATATCGCGTTAACTGAAACATGAGATGGGTTTTGCGCAGCACATTCAATTGAAGATCACCACAAACGGGAGATTCAGTTGCGATTCATTTTAGTCTGTTGTAAAAATGAAGTGGGTTTGCGTATGAGTGCAATCCTCGGATATCTGGATCACTTTTTGGACCATCTACGGAGCACTAAACTAACTCTTGTAAGGTCGCTCACAAACAGACCTAAAATGTTTTCTTCTGCTGAGACCTGAGCCGACATGGTTAATAAACTGAGGGCTATGCTGCAGCGAAACATTGCTCGTCATATTTAATTAAGAAGGAGCCCGTTCCTTCAGAAGACGACGGAACTATCCTACTCAATTTTCAAATTCCCTACCCAGAACATATTGTTGAGCCAATTGGTGCTGTTTTATCAAAACTAAGTTTTCAAAATTGGCAACACTATTTGCAGCCCAAGCGACTTTAACAAACCAGATGATTAAACTGACTGCATACGTAATGTCGTGGGGATTCCAAGATTCACTAAAAGGACTGGTAGGTGGCTGAAAGTGTGCGCTGCAGAACATGGAAAATGTGCTTTCAGCTTCACATCTATCGTGATTCGAAAAGCGGGAGAGACTCAACTAGGCACACCCTTACGGGAAGTGTCTTATCTAACCAGGCCTGCAGGCAGTAAAGCGATGTACGGAGGCTTTGGCAAGCAATACAAACTCCTTGCACAATAGAAACGACTACCAGTCTGTATGCGATGTGTAGCCAGGGCTTATACACGCCAGCCTCTAGTGTGATCCTCTTAACTCAGGTTTAGCCGATGTAGTCACCACCCTGACAGTTTCGTGACCAGTTTTGGCCACACACCGATAGACACAAGCTAGTCGTCCTTCATCCTCTCCTTTGTAGTGCTAGTTATTTCGCCTGGATGAAAGTTACCCACAGTGACGGAAGTGTGCTTTAAAGAACTGCACTCGAAGATCTTTCACTAATAATCGCCACCTTACATCCGAGACCCAAACACATTAACGCATACTTGCCATATTCAACCCCGATCCCGCTATCTTAGAACTTTCAAATCCATACGAATGAATAGAATTTGCGAACGAAACCTAGGGGACGTAATCCACCTGTCATAAACCAGTAAACGGACGACCCCAAACCCGACTCAGCTCAACATTTCCCTCTTATCCCGTCTGAAAGCGTTCAGTCGTAGCACACATCCGGTGCCTAGCTACCATGCCACCCAAAGGAAGCACGAGGGCTGGGATACTGTCAGGTTGCCCAAGCCTAGACAGGGGAAGTCGAGAGGCAGAGGTCGGATTCGAACGACGGACCTTCCGGTCAGTAAATTCGCGCTCTAACCACTTGGGCCATCTAGCCCCCCCCCCTGATCCCATCTGTCATGAGTGATAATCGCCCACACTAACCATTGAAATCTGACAAACGGTCCACCCTGGCTGAGTCAACTAGATGAAAGAAAGCTCACTACTTCGTTCTCCTTATGTATCAAAACTCAGTCAACCTGGTGACTGATTCACGTGGCCAGGTTTTGAAACGAAACACTGTACAGCAATGAATCAGCCGATTTCCTCCCAAATCACTCTGTAGCGATGACTTTTCAATCGGTCACAAACTTTTCCAATTGACTGATAAACAAGACTATTACTGACAGACATGGCACTTAGTGAACGGACACAGCTTTCAGTAGGTGATACAGCCGAAGGCATCAGTCTGCGTTCGAACCTTGGTCATTGCTTTTTTTAATCGGTTGTTTAGTCGCAAGTCTAGAAAGGTCTTGGGAAGGTATCACTATCCACAGGAGTGTTATACTGTTCCGTTGAGGATTCCTGTTGAACAAACGTGATGACGAGTGTATTGATGATTTGAACCCGCACGAGTTTAGCATGATGACAGAGTCCAGGTCGAGCACACAACTCTTCCTAGACTGACATAAAACAGTGGCAAGAACTTGAAGTAGCTAACATCTACCGGAAACCAACAGACATAGGTGCCGTTCAAGGGCACCCGTCAACACATCCAAAGTCGATGTGAGCGAAGATTGTCTCACTGAAATTTAGTCCACAAAGGGCGAACGGCCAGGGAACCAAACATCAGGAACGGTGAGCACGAATGATCTGTTCCGCTGCTTTCCGATTGTTGGTGGAACCCAGAGCTAATCAGACCGAGCTGAAAATCACATACGGCTATGAAACACCACATGGCAGAGTACTGACACCGGGAAGTAACCGAGGAATATGAGAAAAACTACCGAATGGAGTAGCATCAAACACTAGGTTTCCCCTCTGGAGTGGTCAAAAGGATAGGATAATTCGAGAGCTACTACTTGGTTCGGACAAACTCAAGTAACTGCGGGGTGGGGAGGGGATGGGTCAACCAACTGCCCATAGGATGAAAGTTGTTCAACTAAGGGGGGTGAACACCATTTCGGAAGTTTGGAAAAAGCGGGGAGATACGGGCGAGTGGGAACGACTATTTACATGGACAGGATGGACCATGGTGCCCAAATATGCTTTCGAGAAGGCATCAAGAGTGCGGAGGGACAAACGATGACGGTGCCACGAATTTCTGAGGTAATTTCGTCAGTAGCCACCAGACACGGAACCAACCTGGAATGACTGAAGCAGCGAAAGAAGAAAGATGGCCAAGATTCCGAAAGATATCGGAAAACATAACAACTGTCTACGTGCAACAAAGGTACAAACAAAAACGCAAGCAGGTAACGGGGTGAGATCGTTGAGAGCCGCATGTGCTTTCGGATGCCAATTATTGATTAGAGAACCGAGTGTCACTCGCATCTGAAAAGTTCGAACAAAAATAATCCCACTAATTTACCGGAAAGCAAATTGAGATAGCTGAATGGAAGCAGCTAAGAGAGAAGATGCCGGTTAATCGGTGAAACCGTTATGACGAACAAACTGAAGAAAAAAGGTGTGGGATGTATTACACAAACACATATACGAATTAGGCCTGTCGGAGATGAGAGCATCTGTCTTAGAGACAAGAGTAGCTTTGGCACAAAATGACCCGGCATAGTGACGGGCCTTGTTTGTCTATTCTGACAAATTGCGCGGTTGCACCTGTCGTGGTGATTACGGTCCAGATGAGATGAAAAGGTGCGGGAAACGGAGCGCAAAACTAAATAGTCTCAAAATCAAAGATGAGGTTGGGCAATCAGAACTAGCTAGGAAGGGTTCTGGGTGAATTGAAACACACTGAAACAGGCATTGAAGAAATTGCTGAAATACGATTGTAATCCAATAAAAATCAAAGCGTTCACAAGCCGACAGACGACCACAGAGCCAATTTTGGAAGGTACACCGGGTCAGAAAGATTGTAGGCAAACAGTAGTGAAGCACGGGATAACGACGAATATCACGAATCTCCAAAGTTCTGGCATTTAAAACATTAGGTTCATGAACCAGCTCGAAAAGTACCCTCCAGTTCATAAACGGTACTAGTGATCCTGTGAGTTCCCACCAGAACGAAGGAGAGTTTCCACAAACCGACGTAGGGGGCGGTGTGGTGGTCAGCTTGTGTAGGTGGACCACTGACGATGTAGGATAAACGATTCCAAAGCGACTAAGGCGCTAAGCAATGTCCATGGTCCAAATACTGAAAATAGAAGAACGGGGTGCCAGAGGTTATGCTACAAGCACATATAGATGACGTTTGGTGGGAACAAGTTGACACCACTGAATATTCTACGCTCAGAACAAGATAGGTTCTGCATATCTTCAAGTGAAAAAGCGAATATTCAGAGTATCCAGGTATCTTATTTTCCTTTTCATATCGTGGTTAAACATAACATGAGATCAAGAAAACTCAAGAAAACTCGAACTCAACCTCTCATCTCGACTACGATGTAGGATAAACGATTCCAAAGCGACTAAGGCGCTAAGCAATGTCCATGGTCCAAATACTGAAAATAGAAGAACGGGGTGCCAGAGGTTATGCTACAAGCACATATAGATGACGTTTGGTGGGAACAAGTTGACACCACTGAATATTCTACGCTCAGAACAAGATAGGTTCTGCATATCTTCAAGTGAAAAAGCGAGTATTCAGAGTATCCAGGTATCTTATTTTCCTTTTCATATCGTGGTTAAACATAACATGAGATCAAGAAAACTCAAGAAAACTCGAACTCAACCTCTACATCTCGACTGCTCCTGTCTGGGCTTGTACAACCCAGCAGAGTCTCAGCCCTCGAGCCTACTTCGAATGACATGTCAGCTGGGCACCGAAAGGATGTTTCAACTGGACGACTGATTGGTTGTCTTTTAAACATGGCAATAAGGACGACTGTCAACCGAAGAACGAGCCAAACACCATGTTTCGAACGTTATGGAATTCCAGTCCACGGGAGCCTATTACGCAACCAACAGTCAAAATTCCGTTACACAGTAGACTACCTTGTCCGAAGAGACTAATATGAAAGCTGGATGCTGAATTAGGTAGCCTTTCATGATACGGGAAATTGTCTATGTAGCGAACTAGGGTATGCGAAAAGAAGTATGAAAAAGCCACAAAGGAAGACGATTTGTGCTCTGAAACAACGTACTAGGTTTATTAAGTAAAATAATTCAATATTAGGAATATCGACCCAGATTAACCGGGTCTGCTGCTTCATTCCAAAAAGATATCTTTGTTGTTTAGTTAGTAGCTAATAAGGATGACTGTGGCCTCCTTGTGTGTGAGGTCAGAAAAGTGGTGGTGGACTGCATTTTCGTTGTGAATACAAACAAGAAAGAACTAATGACAAGTTAAAGCCCCCTCAGTTTGAAAAGCCATAAACATTCACTGAAAATACGGCCACAGTTAAGAAAGTAGTGATGATTTAACGGGGCCTGTGGACGAAAATGACCGCAATATCTTTCGAGTATTGGGCGCTCCTCTCATGCTGATCACTAACGTCTCGTTGACTGGAAAATGACACCCTACATCGTTGCTAAGCTAGGCGCATTGCGAAGACAGAGAAACGGAGTACAGATCGCAACCTGGCCACCAAACAAAATCAGAGAGGTGTAATAATAGACAAGTTGAATCGAAAAGCAAGAACACTAACCTGAACATCAGGGACCGTGTCCGGTGGAAGTGTTGGAGCTCACTGTCGGGTTTACTGTGCTCGCGGTAGGAACCAATGGTGGTTGTGATACATGAACGAAAGACGCCGGTATTTGCTGGATAGCAGCGGTGCCTGTGTTGGCAACCGGAATGGCGGATCCCAGAGGTGCATGTGCAGTAGCTGCAGTACGAGATGATACTGAAGGGAGGTTTTTTGCAGGAACATTGCTCGCCATCGATGGAACGACCATACGTGAATCATCAGGCTATCGAAACACGAAATATGACGGAGTAAGACAACAGTGGTTCAACAAAAAACACGATATTCATATAAAATTTGCACATAGAGGTCAATGAACCACCGAGATTATAACTTCCTGAGAACCGGAAGCTAGAGAAAGGGAGCGCAGGAAGATAAACAACTGTTTGTAGGTAGAAGGAATCCCAGCTGAAATACACAAGTCACGTTCACCGGTACTTCTCAAGCCGTAGACTTGGCTCGATTTTGGAGGCTGAAGTGCTTCAGTCAAAATACCCTACTACCTCTCTTCCAAAAAAGGTGACAGACTGGTATGTAGAAGCTATCGGAGCATCGGTCTAATTGAAATAACAGCCAACATATGCAAGGCATTTGCAGTAGAATAGCACTTGATGGCGGACTGACCAAGTAGCCTTCCACCATGAAAGTGGACGTGTAGACCAGATCTCCCTGCACCGAACACGCGAAAACGGCATTAAGCTCCAATTCGGTACCATCCTACATGTATTCGAAGTATCAGAATAAATGCGCCAGAACAGAAGAAATACTGTTCAAACGAGTGATTTGGAAGTGAAATCTGGCCGTTTTAATTATTTCTTCACTTTGGTGAAGGCCCTGTGTGACACTGGCAAACCAGACGGCTCCTACTTTTAAATTAGGGAGCTTGAATCATAGCAAAGTACGTCTCGACTAGCCGTTCCAACCGCAACCGAAAGATTCGTTTCTTGTCCCCGAGCTATGAAACGTATCGAGCGTGAAAACCACGTTCCTTGGTCCTCCAATTAAAGCTACAAGCTGGGTTATTATATTCAAATTTCACGACTAGTTCCGATGAACAATGCGGAACCGATCAACGTAGCTTGAGATTCCCATTAGAAAAATCAATCAGCAAGAGGCCTTATGCCCTCAGTGTCCTTCATGAACACTGGTTTACTGAAAAATGGGTGATCTTCGAACTGCTTTACCGCGCACACAGCCTCATTTAGTCATTTCAGCGGCAGTTCGAAAACTCACACGCCGAAATGAGTAATGCGACTTGTAGGGTCAGTAATGCTAGTGTTTGAATTTCGATTCACAGCACAGCTGCAACATGACTCTAAATAGAAAAGCGCAGTCGCGCGACACAACGGGGAGGCGCACGGAAACCTGGGTTGGGCGATCGACTGGGGCGTGTGGCGTACTACGTATCAAGGTTTGTACTTCAAAAGCATAAACTATCGTGTGTGTGTGTGGAGGAACACCTGGTGGTTAAGTGAACGATCATGACTGTGATCAGATCTCCTATGAAGGTGCAACCTATCCAGTGTGAATACAGATGGCAAACGGACTGTGCAGATTTGGCGAACAGTATATAGGCTCTAAACCTCTCTTCAATGGCTAGTCATACAGAAGAGCCTGTGACTGTAAGCAATGTAATATAGTAAATATTACTACCTTGTAGTTCTGGGGTATTTGTTTCACTGGGACACCCAGTCCGCTGGTTGTCGGAAGGACGGTGACAAGACCCGGTGTGGACGCAATCTGACTTGTAACTGAAGCAGGAGGCCCCACTGGTGTCACTAAAGGACTAAATCCAGTAGGGTCTATTTCTAACTGGGAATTGGGTGTGGCCGGTGGTGGAGGCGGTGGAGCAGTTTGTCCAGCGCGTTGTCGTGGTGGTCGAGGTGGGGCCTGATTCCACTGGGGGCCAGCAGCACTGGGTTGAGAAGTTGTAGGAGCTACGGGTTGTATAGGTGGAGCGGGTTCATCGTTTTCCGATTTTACTGGGACCACCTGACAAAAATCAGACATTTATGGAATGGGGTGGGTAAGGGGAATTAAGTGCCTACCTATCACAGAGAACAGATTTGTCAGTCAAACGGAAATGTCAGAGGAAAAGGCTTGACCAGAGGCTGAGACGATAGGTAAAAAAGTCCATGACCGAGGTGAAGAATAACAGTCGATACAGACGAAGACAAAAAAGGAGTTATCAATAACGTATGTTGTTTTATGGCAAGGTGTATGCCAGCATAGACGTAAGTCGGATACCATGCTGAAAAAAAGATATATTGTCTTATTAACAATGATTCTGGAAAATATTGGGTACTTTCAAGCCGTATGATATATTGGGGGATATGACAGCTGTTAATTCGTAAAAGAAGAATAACTCACGGTGAATAGACGTAATGCACTACTCATAAGGTTGCTGAAAACCGTTCGACCTCATGAGTAGTGTGTTACGTTTGTACAGTGTATCGCAATACCCGGAAATATCGTGCCGACTGAAACATGAGGCGGCCTAGTGCAGTATATTCAGTTGCCTAAAAACATCACAAACGACAGTCGGCTGGGTTCCAGGTGGGTTTCCCGTCAAAAACAAATCGGTATGCAAATGAATGCATTTCGCTAACTCACGGTGAACTTGTTGGCCACAGTGGTAGGAGCAGCGGGCACGGGGTGGTGGGCGCTGGACGACTGTAGTGCATCCCCAACTGACGGCACCGCCGTCGTATCACGCGGTGGTTGAACGGAGGCAGCGGTCATGATAGCAGGCGGATTGATGGAACTGAGCCCAACTGCCAAACATGAAGTAGGATTAGAAGCCGCAGGTTGTGGCGCAAACGAGGAGGCAAGGCTTGGTTGGTGGGTCTGAACTGGGTGTTGGACCGGAGCACCGGACAAACCGGTGACCCGTGTAGTGTGTGGTTGCAGTGCAGATAGGAGATGGATTTGGGTTTCGATGGGCAGAGTTGCCAGCTGAACAGAGAAAAATGACAAATAATTCAGAACATCTTGGCCTCATTTATTATCTGATCTGCATATCCGAACTTTTTGAGAAGCTCCAAAGGAATAGTACTATAAATAAGCATGTCAAGTGGCCTAAAGATGGCAAACAACATGCGCCCTCCTCGTAGAATGAAAACAGTGGTGCTGCAACAACGGTTGCACTACCGTGAAGGCATTGATAAAAAATACTGACCAAGTCAATTCCAGATAGAGCAATCACAAGGGTGATTCAACAAAACGAGAAAAAACAGAGGGCTGAGTTGGCAATATAGCAAAATACTGATAGTTTGGTTGCGTCAATTGTTTGTAGGCCATGTGGTGGCTGATTCGCTCGCGGAGCTTAACAATTTTCTTGCAACCGTGGGGACGGTTAGTGACGAGACGTTTTCGAGCACCCTGCCATGCTCGGTGATCAGATCAACGGCTACAACCAACGAATATTAAATTCCCAACTGGGACGGTCCTTGGTTCGTGATGTGTATTCGTCCAGGTTCAATCATCCCTACACCAAACAGTGTATGTTAGCATGCGTCTAAAAGGTGGACAATTTTTACTTGTTACCTTCCAGTGCGACTGAAGGACAGCAGAAAGGTGAAAAGCTGAACAGTCGTAATTAAAAGTCACATTTTGGGTCAAACTGAATGCATGTTGGAATGAAGGACAGCTAAGCAAGTAAAAATGACGGAACGAAAGCGTGTTCAGTGTAGGTTACTTATGTGAAGAAGCTTAATGCAAACAAAGTCAACACCAGATGGTGAAATCAGACTCAACCGGAACAACGACAATCGTTAGCGAAAGTCGAAACGAAACGGTCGAAGCTGAACTACGTACCGTGAAGTACAATAGCAAAAAATGAATCCATAAAACTATACAAGTCTATCATTACTTTTTGAAGCTGGACTATCTAGGGTCGACTGAAGAATTAAAAAATGAAAGATTGAAAGAAAGGAACCTACCAAGAACTAGTGAAACATGTGCGAATCATTATCTTGTGAACCCCCAAAGATTTATAATAGAATTGAAAGTGATGAAAATGAAAAGATGGATGCAGAACTTGCTGCCAACTGAAAATGAACGAAACTAACCAGCTCCTTAACGGCATTTGGGTCCGGCTGCGATTGTATCAGTCGCAGTAAGTTAGCCAAATCAGGAAGCTTCTGTTGGACGTTTTGCTGACTGACGGATACTTGTTGGGAATGTCCTCCTTCTGCATGAGTAAGCAAGTGAGAGGGTCGGATTTGTTGACCAGAAGAGTAAGACAGACCCTGCTGAATTGAAGCTTGTGGAGAGGCTGTGGCCATGCCCTGCAATCCAGAAGACGTCAAATGGCTGAATCCACTGGTGTCAACAATAGGTGCATTTATGACAGTTGCAGGACTCGAAGTAAGGGGTGCCAGTCGTGCAGGACGGGGTGGAGTCGGAGGAAGTTGGGCGGGGCTAAGA